CCCCCCCCCCCCCCCCCTCGCCCCCCACATGCTCGGCGGGGCGCACACACACACAGACACGCACTTATCCCCATCCGTGCTGGGAAGCTGCCAATTGTGCCCAGGGCTGGGGAGAAGGATTTCTCCATTGGGGGAGCCGTGTGCATGAACACACACTCACACCATTTGAATGCGGGGACTTTTACAAAACTGCTCTCCTTCCCCACCGTGCCTAGCAACCCGGAGGCTCCCCTGCAGGGCGGAGTTTTTATTCTGCAAATGCCCAGGGACTTCAATGTTCATTCCCCCCCCCCCCCTTTAATGTGGCTTTTGCAAACTTCTCCCGGAACAAACTGCTAACGCCCTGTGGCAGCCACATCCTGCCGGCCCATAACCCACATCTCACTGGCATGTTGTGATGCCACATTGAGTCCCCAAGGTGTGTGTGTGTGTGTGTGTGTGTGTGTGTGTGTGTGCATCCAGCAGTGCATGTGGGGAGCCAGGGGGTGGGGTGGGCTGCAGTCCTTGGGCAAGGGAGACACAATGCCCAGGAATACTTTTGGGGGTGCTATTTTGCCCCCCCCCCATAATTCATGCCCCCTGGGAGCCCCGCCTCCTTTCCCAACTGCTGAGGAGTGGGGGGGGGCAGGGGCAGCCCTTCCCCCTTCACAGGGCCAGAGAGACGACACAGTTCCCCTACTGCTCCGACCGCTCCGGAAGCAGAGTGGTGGCCGCAGAGGCAGAGCGGGAGGAGGGTGCCCTGCTCAGCTGGGCTCTCTCTCTCACGCAGGCTGCACACGCAGGACACCCCGCTTTGCAGCACCGGGCAGCCTCGGTGACTCTGAAGGGGCGCAAGATCGCGCCTCCGAAGGCTTCCGTGTCCCTCTGCAAGAGCTTTGGCGTGGAGAGCGGAGGCTTTTGCGTCTGCGATCCGGTTACTCCTTCAGAGTCACCGAGGCTGCCCGGCGCCCCAAAAGCAGATTGGGGGGGAGGTGCTGCACAGGCGGCCTCCGCGAGTCAGGCAAACTGAACGAGGGGCGCCCGTCCCGCTCCTCCTCCGCTCTCCAGGCCCCTATTTTGGGGCAGGCAAAGGAGCCACGGCAGAAGGGCTGGAGGGGACGGAGCTGGCTTGACCGTGGAGATCTCCCAAAGGTCAAGGTCGGTGCCTGGGGGAAGCGGCAGGGTGGGGGGGGCAGGGGAGATCTCAGTGGGCAGGGGGAGGCCTTGGGTGACGGGTGTCAAACTTGCTGTGGCATTTTGCCTTCCTGGAGCTGTGGTGGGCGTGGCCTGTGTGGGACGCATCCGGCCTGGGGGGGCCGCCAGGCTTTTCCCCACCCCGTGACACCCCATGTGCACTTACTCACCTGAGCGTCCAATTAGCCAGCGCGTTGGGTAAACCAGACAGAGAGCATGTTCGTTCATGAGCCTCGGTGGCGCAGTGGTTGGAGTGCGGTACTACAGGCTACTTCTGCTGCCTGCCAGCTGCCTGCAATTTGGCAGTTCGAATCCCACCAGGCTCCAGGTTGACTCAGCCTTCCGTCCTTCCCAGGTGGGTCAAATGGGGAACCCGATTGTCGGGGGGGGGGGGCAGAGGCTGACCGTCAGGGTTCCAGAGAGCATCCATTATTTCTTTTGGCTCTGTCTATTCTTCTGCTATGCCTTTTCTATGGGAGGGGGAAATGGGAGGGGGGATTGTACGGAGTGAGATGCGATGTAGCCATAACAAAACTCCTTTCTAGGAAGCCAAGGTCATCATCCTTGGTCTCTGCACCTGACCGGAACTGGATGGGGGGAAGCTGCCAGCGTGGCAGTGGGAGATTGGCCCATGGGATGGGCTTGTGGGCGTGGGGGGGGGACGACAAGATCTTGAACCTTCAACTGGGGGTGGGGAAAACCGGGAAGCTTTCAGATTCGGGTTTCCCCAGATGTGCCAACGTGGCTCTCTTCATCAATGGGAACTTTTGAGCAATACTTTGCCTCGGACCCTGATTTACGTTTGGATGCTACTTGGAACCCTGACGTGGCCCTTGTAATGTGCGATTTCTCCGCGGGTCGCCCATGAGGCCAATGATGAAGGAAGACTCGGAGGCAGGTCTTTTTCGGGATGAGACGACCCGGAACAGAGTCCGGAGGCCTCTTTTATTGAGCATACACAAGGAAAGGGTCCGAGGCACATGGTCTATGTGGACCAATCATGGTTGTACAAGTCTATTGTATATAGCCCTTGACTATTATAGGGTATGCCGAATTTGTGGATGGTGCCCCATTTCTTAAGAAAG